CATTGTGACAAATTATTAAAATCTTTATTTTATTTTATGCCAATATCAATCCAGATGCTTCCAGCTTAAGTTTTTCTATAGAGCACAACCCTGTAGGGGTGATTTCCTCTTACCCGAGACAATAACTTAAGGGTGTCTCCTAGGTAATAGAAATCATTACGTGGACATGCATGTCTTGTAAAAGCTACTCTACATTAACCCAGAATCAGCTTTACAGAAAATAGTTAAAATTGAAACAGGGGTTATAAATATCTATCTATCTATCTATCTATCTATCTATCTATCTATCTATCTATCTATCTATCTATCTATCTATCCATCTATCCATCTATATCTGTGCACTCAGAATTCCGCAAATTTAAGCCCATGAATAATTCTATTTATTTACTAGAGTAAATGTGGGTAAATCTATATTTATTCACTTTTTAATAACAGTAATATTATTGACTTGTATGAAAATGTTCATCTGATTTATATACGATGCAGTTTGTACAGTGATACTTTGTCTTTTGGTAGATATATTATATTAGACTTGCTTTGTTTACCAAATAAAGTGAATCTAATTGGATTTGCATTTTAAACATGAAAGTTTAAAAGATATTATTTTTAAATTCATATATTAAGGTTTTAGTTATAATACTCCCAAAATAATTCCGCAGAAATCTGCAGATTTTTAGCAAAATTCTACGCAAAAATAGCAAAAAAACGCCCGCAGATTCCGTCTGGCCCTACATATTAAAAATGTTAGTTTTTTAGAAATATAATAAAAGTTGAGTTATGAACTTGTAATTTCATTCATACTTCATATCTAAATAATTATTTATGTTAACATTACCTCCTAAATTACATAAAGCAATAAGTTACATAGATAAAAATTGCACAATGTCATCATTTAAAAACGGTAATGCGCAACAACAAACATGGCCGCTGTACAGTAATATCCGGGTTCTTTGTTCATACAGCGCCATGACTCAGCATAATTTAATCTGACAAACTGCGACATTGAACAATTTAACAATTAAAAAGCAAACGTATCAATTTGGGAAAATAACATCTTATGAGTATTACTCTAGTCAAAGCATTAAGGACTGCAAAATTACTTCTTTACATTTAGTTAGGATGTCGAGGATATGAGCGCCAAAATCAATACAATAAACAGGAATGACGAAATATCAATAATAGTATACTTAAAGGTCTTTATGAAGGTTCTAAATCGAACTGGAATAGCTTTCTTACCTTATAAATATCGCTGAAACTGCCTCTGAAAGTGAATAAGTTCTTCTCTTCTTCGCAGAAAAATCAGCCGATAAAGCGAGTGAAACTGTTTTTATACAAACCCAGCAGCGTGACGTTCACATGTCACGTGAGCGGGTCTTTTAGTAGTCAAAACGTTTTTTTCGTTTGAAGAATTAAAATAAATGTTAAAACTATGGAATTATTTGATTTTTTAAAAATAAATACAAGTTATGTATCAATATTTTAAACGTATAATTTAATCATAAATTACCCATAAAGGAAGTTTCCACAATGTGCTGGAATGGGCTGGACTTGTAGGACAACCTGCAGGCAGTGATTGGCTGGTTTAGTGTTTGTTCGCTTTGCTATTGGTGATTCAGACAAGACCAGGCAAAGAGAAGAACTGACATACTATATAAACAAAAATAGAACAGTCTGGAAAGATACATCGTATTACAGGACCAGAGATTATACAGCATTATAAAATATGAATTATAGTTAGTTGCGTGGGTTCCAGTGGATGTTTTGGTTGCTTAAAAGAAACTGATTGTGTATGGTAATAATGAATCCTGATATTAACTTCAGGGTACAGCTGAGTAAAGTGAGCAGGCAGAAGGAATGGGAGAACAAAAAAATAACATTTATAAGGATACATTTGCGTGCAAAACAGAGCAAACAATAAAAATGTGATAATTGCAAGATTATACATTGGTCATACAGCGCAAAAAAGTTTGTGTAAAAAATTAAACAAGTTACTGTCATAAAAATGCTTAATAACAAATTACATAATTCAAGAGAGAATAAATAGAATTATTCTGAAAAATAACTGAAAGAAATCTGAGTAAAGTGTTAATCACACATTAGAATTACCACATTAAAGAGATCATTAAGGTGTCATCTGGATTGTTGAATGTCCTCGGACTGGAAAATTAGGTTTAAAAGTGGATACAGTTTTTTAAGCCCCCAACCAAGTTTCATACTCCAGTCCTATAAGTGGCAGAAATGCATTTCTCAACCACCAACAAAAAAAAATACATGATGGATTCCAATCTGAAGGGCTCATTCCTATGCCCTAATCCCTTCAGAGGGTTCCTCTAAAGAGATTAGCGCATAGGGATGAGTTCTTTTGAATTGAGTGTAGTGTGGGAAACCACACAGCTTTCCTGCTCAAAAGATAATTTCCCAAAATGTTCATCGGTTTTATTTTTCAAACTCATTTATTCCTAAGGGTGCTTTTGATCACTTCAGTTTGAATGACACTTCAATATGGCGGCCATAATTTTATCACTACGAAGTGCCCTTCAGAGAGCAATGTATCTCGTTTAGAATGCCCATGTCTCTCCTATCAGTTACACATGGTTAGAATATGTTTAACCCATAAATACTGCACATAAATGCCACAATTATAGTGTGTTAGCTCAAAAAACTATTTAAAAAATAAACAAAATCAGCTTCATTACGTTATTGTAGCAGTTCTAATAAGTTTGTGTTTTAGTCTAGGCTTTATAGTCAAGCAGCACACTTATAAATAGAATGCAATGTGTGGCACAGATGGCATTGCTTTGAGACACACTGACCTCAGATTTGCTGCTGTCAGTATTAGTTTAAATGTAGGTCATTTTCTGTGGGTGAGCTGACAGACAGCACCACAAACATTTACCAATGCTACAAAGCTAGTGTTTTTATTAAATTGTATAATTTTTTTTATAAAGTTGTACTTTATTTGTGTCTTTGTACCTTGGATAATAAATAGTATTGTGCTGATGTAATCTTTCCATATAAATTCTGTTTTCTGCACCTATCGTATGTGGTGGACAAATCATTTCTGTTATGTGAATGTGTTGCCATGGTACAAAACAAGCATGCATAAATACAAACCAGACAAACCTGTTCCAAGTTGTGATTTCCCCTAGCCTGTGTTTTAGACTACTGCTGATTGTTGTAAGCAGCTGGTCAGCTATTAAAATAAATATTTAAAAAACAGTTATAAGGCAGGCCTGTTCAGGAAAAAGAGAATGTTTTGTGAGACCTGGGCCTTGTTTATGTAGACAGTCATCCAATTACAGTGGATTAGCATCATTGTTGAATCAGGTCTCTATTAATTTTTCATGAGTGGTAGGGGAAGTGTATACTACAAAACTACACAACAGACACACAACGTCATATGATGCTGATCTTTAGTTCTGTTTTGGTTGCGACAACAGGTGAATAAAATTTAATGTCAATTTGCTGTCCAATACAGATGTCACTTGACATCTAATACCAATGTCATCTGGCATTGATTTTTGGTGGGTTTTAGCTGTGACTAAAATCCAACATCATTTTAGAGTCATGATATGACATCCATGCAACGTCTCTTTGGTTGGTTTTAGGTTATATAATTACCAAACTACAATTCAACATCACTTTAATATCATAATGTGTGTCTATATAATGTCAAAAGGTAACATCGCTAGCCATTGATCCTTGGTTGTTTTTTGTGTCAAAAACTAACCAACATTGAAAATTAAAAACTAAATGGCAAATCAAGAGAAGTCAGCTGAGGAGCCTCGGGTATCGGTTTCAAATGCCTTCAGCATGACTACCTAGGGAGGTGTTCCAGGCATGTCCTACCAGGAGGAGGCCTTGAGACATGCTGAAGGGACTATGTCTCTCATCTGGCCTGGGAACGCCACAGGATCCCCCCAGAGGAGCTGGAGGAAGTGTCTGAGGGAAGTCTTCATGATTATTAAATATTCACACGATTAATTGCCTTAATTAATTGCAGTTTGATGACAAACAAAATAGTGTATAGTTTAATTTAATTTATGTTTTATGGTGTAATCTTTTAGGCTCGTGGATGTGGCCTTGTTGGCTGTGACATTTGGGTCTCTATCTTAATCACACGAGGCTTGGCACTTTAAGTGTTCAGATGGGGCTCAGCATTTAAGTTTAAATTATACATTTGAAATTACCCACAGCTCTCATAATGTAGACATTTAATTAACTGCTTTTGCTTAGTGTTGACCACAAATAATTGTTTTCAGTTGGAACAACTCACAGGAAAAAATATTTCTAAAAATATTTTAAGGGATTCACCAAAAAATGTAAATAGTATAACCATTTACTCATCTACATGTTCCAAACTTGTTTTAGTTTTTTTTCTTTCTTTGAACACAAAGAAAGTTATACTGAAGAATGTTGGAAACATACAGCCATTGTCAATAGCTGCTTTCTTCCGACAATCATCAATATTTGTTCCTTTATCTTACCTAGAAGAAAGGAAATGAGAAAATTTACATTCTTGGGTGAACGATCCTTTTCAGGAAACGAACGCTTAGAAATTCTCTAGAAATTTCCTGTTATCTCCAACTGACTGAAACATGTGACGCCAGCTGCCACATCACCAGACTGAACTCAAAGGATTGTTTTTTTCAAAACCTTTGGACTTCTAAGGTGTGTGTGTGTGTGTGTGTGTATGTAGGCTTAGGTTAAAAAGTTAAAACATCTTACTATAAATTAATCAGCAATAGTTCTAATCAACAACTATTTAGACATCATAATTATCAATAGAAATCAGATTTATAATCTTTTTAAGCCCAGACAACTTGCCCCTTTAAACAATTTTTTTAGCATTTTGTTTAAATCTCTGTCAGTACTGGTGGAAAAAGTTGTTAGAATTTATATATAAATATTTAATATTTGATAAAACAAATCTAAACTGGTTATTTGAATTCAAGAAGAAATACATTCTGCTTATTTCACAACACACTGTCCCAATAGCTTCTTTAGTTCTATTGCCCACACCATTTTATGTGCTATAATTAAGTCAATTTCAAAGAATTCAAGTTTTTTTGTTTTGCTCTCCTGATTCTAGTGGCTTGTCTGAGCACAGCTGAATGGGTGGATCCAGATGACGCCGAAGGCATTAAGTGAACGGACTGAACTGAAGCACGTGACTCAGCCGGTCAACAGTGTTTGTGCTGTTCTTCAAGTAGGTCGTCAACAGTGTAAAAATGTTCAACAGGACAGCACGACTTGACACTTTAAACCGGTTTGCCTGAAGAAGATAAACAACTGGTTTCAACATTACATATTAGCATATATTACGTTATAGGTACTAAATGGCGCGCGTAATTAAAGATGAAAGGTAGGCGGAACGAAACTGATCGGGAAAATGAGATATAACGTTATTACTACCCACTGAAAGAAAAAGAAACATTGAGTTGCCTGATATAACGTGACTGTATTTTAAATGACACTTATATGTTAAATTGATGAGGCACAGGTGTGCTTTAAATGATGTGTTGTTTTCAGGTCGCCCGATGGTCTTGTGAAACACACCGGGGGTTGTCACTGCGGCGCGGTGCGTTTTGAGGTGTGGAGCGCCCCAGATTTACACGTGTTCAATTGCAAGTAAGGCTATCTCCAGCCATTAACTGTTACAGTACAAAAAGCTTGACAAAATGAGTGATCACATGGAAGACTATCTGATTACTGGCAACAGTGAAGTAAAAGAATAAATAACTAAACTTGTCAGGGGAATAAATAATACTATAGCAAGCTAATTTTTAGTAGGCTTACTTAGCCTACTACATATTGTAATCAAACTGTACTGTAGTAAGTTTTCAATATTTATATTAGGGCTGCACAATATTGGAAAAAACATATGTTGCGATATTTTTATTTTCTGCGATTTATATTGAGATATTTCACCAAATGGAATAGCTCTATTTTAAAATAAATACGTCTATATTGAATGGGAAATCCAATAGACAAATTGCCAGCATAGATAAATGCAGTAAACCAACAGTAAACGAAGGAGTCTAACAGCATTTAGATACAAAAATAAAAAAATCAAACAAACAATAAAGTTGGATAGTCTTTAGTATATAGCTTATTAAATAAAATTAGCTTTTGTTAAGCTACAAAATGCAATAATTATTTGTGCTCAAATGCTTTAAGCTCATTTAAAATGAGTACATAGTCACAAGCCTTAAAACACACACAATTAATAAACTTTCTTATTTTTAAATATTAAATATTTAGAGGTTAAACTGAAATGACTCCACGATTGAACCTGGTCAACTGTAATCCTGACTCCACATTACAGATCCTGCGATGTGAATTTGCGCATTCACACATTGTGATCTCAATGCTAAAACTATATATTGTGGAACCCTTTACTCTAGTATATATATATATATATATATATATATATATATATATATATATATATATATATATATATATATATATATATATATATATATATATATATATATACACTGTAGTAAAAACTGAAGTACACTAAAGTATTAATTACATTGATCAAACAGTAAATATTACAATATACAGTGAAATACAGTTTAACATGGTTCAAAAACTTTAGAGTATTTTTATATTTTTCTCTATATATTATTTAATGTCATCTGGGCGATTAGAAGAGATACATGTATTTAACTTGACATAGGTCCAGACAAATAAAATCTAAACATTTCTATGCATATTCAATTTTGTTGAACTATAAATTATTATTATGAAAAGCAGCTTATGTAAGTAATAGAAAGAAAAAGCCTCTTCCGTTGATCTCAGGTCTGTTTAAGGAACTAACAAGTAAAAGTAAGCATCATAATTTTAAAATCAACCTGATCAATGCAAGAGCCAATGCAAGGGTTCTAATACTGGAGTAATACAACTCTAATTAAATTACAATTACACAATTAGGGTGCAATTTTGCTATATGTTTGATGTAGTAAAAATGTTTTGATTGTATTTCAAAGATTCATGAGTACTTGAATTATATACTTGAATGTACATAAACCTGTGTATTGTTGACATACTCATGATAATAAAAGTTGAGAGATTAGAAAATGTGGGCTAAAATGTGAAAAATAAATGTGAAAAAGTAGAGGGCCTAAAACCCATATAGGGGGACACCAGTGAAGACAGAGCTAATCTCAATTACATCAAGGCAGTCCCATTTCCTGTATTAATTTAAAAGCAAAAGACGATGCATGATGTATGTATAATAATTGCTGTTGTGTGTCACAGTTGCAGCATTTGCACAAAGAAACAGAATCTTCACTTCATTGTGCCAAAATCCCAGTTCACCTTGCTGCAGGTACTGTATATGATTTGAAGTGTATACACAGGTTATAGTAGACTAGAATATGGCATAAAATGTTAAATATAGAATTTTGATGTTTCATAGGGATCAGACAACATAATCACATACACATTTAACACACACATGGCCAAACACACATTCTGCAAAACGTGCGGCGTCCAGAGTTTCTACACTCCACGCTCCAACCCAGATGGGTTTGGTAAGTTATGCATAGAGTAGAGCAGCAGCTGGTTTGCTCTGTTATTTATAGTAGTTTTTACATATATTCTGCCTGCGTTTACAGGTGTGGCACCTCATTGTTTGGACCCTGGAACAGTTAACAGTGTGACTGTTGAGGATTTCTGTGGACAGAACTGGGAGGAAAGTATGCAGGAGCATAAGACTATAAAAAACATGTCAAAACCAACAACACAGAACACATAACTCTCTGTATCCAGTGGTCATTTGATGCGTTAGACCACAAATCCAGTTCCTGGAGGGCCGCAGCTCTGCACTGTTTAGTTCCAACCCTGCATCAACACACTGACCTGTAGGTTTTAAACAAGGGTTAAAGCTAAACTCTGCAGAGCTGCGGCCCTCTAGTAACTGAGTTTGCCACCTGTGTGTTAGATTTTCAGCTAGAGGACATAACATGTATTGTCCTGCTTAACACATGTTAATTGATGCACTATTAACCCCAAATCACAGTTTGGGTTCGGGTATTGGTTTAAGCTCCTAATGTATATGTTAGTGCACTCCTAAAAGCTGCCATAAATCACTTTTCTAGATATTTGCATGACATTTATTTTCTAAAAAAAACTACTAAATGGACTAAATGACTCCTTGATGAATCGGCACATTCCGATCTGATTAAATAACATACTGTATTGATTAAACACATCAGCTTCCTATAAATATAGGAATGGCATGATTTTATGATAATAACAGGATGGTCTTATTGATGTGTACTTACCTGTAACTCGCTATTTCATTTAGACATGTTTTAACAGAGAGCATGTAAATAGTAAAACTGAATTGAACCACACTCAAAGATTCATGTGGGAGAACTTTATTAAGATGAGGAAAGATATCAGCCCCATTTATGTATTATCTTTCAATACAGAGTGGTATGTATGTAAAAGGACAACCAATAAAACTAACCTTTAAGAAATAACTGCAATCATCTAACAGTTTGATGGACTCATGTCTCAGTCAAAAAAAAACAATAGAGAACAAACTTATAGATTTACAGACTCATTCAGAAAGACCATTCTAAAAAGGAGATTTGGCACAGTACTTAAGGTTTGGAACAGTGCTTTAACTCTACATTAAGTTGAACAACAACAGTAATATGTAAACAACAAATCAAATGTAAACAACAAAATATACAAAATAAAATTCAGTTCTTATCGCCCTGCATTCCTTAAAGGCACAGTTTGTGTTTTGAATTTAACTTCAGTTAAAGTGCTCAGAAAGACTAAGCCACTCTAGAAAACTGGCTTTCAGAATATTTGATAAAATGTGTGAGGTTCTATGTGCCAACAATTTTAAATAACATCAGTAGGCCGAACATTATTTTTCATGCTGCCATTACACAGTACAGAATAACAGTGTATATAGATAGAATCAGATTTGTAAAGTAAATGTCAGTGCATACTCCTGCATGTACAGGAACAGTATTTAAGATAGTCAAAGCTAATAAATCTTCACATTCTTGGTTTCCGTTGTAATGGCCTGGAATGTGTTTACAAACATGTAGCGTGAGAAGAGTATGTAGAGCCGGCGAAACCACAGCAGCTGAGAGCGATGACAGAGCATGGCTTTCTGAGGAAGAAGAAAAAAGAGAAAAATGAACAGACTGCAAATGAGCAATGCCTTACATATTTTGAAAGGGCTTCATGTAATCCCTCCAGTTTTACTTGCCTTGCTTTTTCCAGCAAGAGAGGTAAACACAAACACTGCATTTGCTGAACTTGCATACATACCTATGAACCATACAATTGACCATTTTTTTAGTCTACTCTGCCTCAGATATGGTTCAAACCCGAGTACACTAAGAAAAAGTGGTATTTGGTACAGTTTACTATTAGAACTTTTGCACCAGATATTAACAGAAACCTAGTTATAGGAACAAGCCACCAGGCTGATTCTTGAGAACATAAAGGGATGGTTTACTCAAAGTTGAAAACTTCCTAATCATTTATTCTCCCTCTTGTGGTTTTAAACCTTTATGTTCCTTACTTCTGTTGAGCGAAAAAGAAGATATTCTGAAAAATGCTGGTTGATGGTATCTATTTATTGTCACAATAGGAAAAACATACTATGGAAGCTCATGAATCCCAGCAAACGGCATTTTCCCAAATAACTTAGAAAGAAGCTCAAAAACAGATTGTGGATAAGTGAAGGACGAGGAAATGACAGATTTCATTTTTGGGTGAACTATCCTTTGAATTTTGTATTCAGGCCTAAGGATTTGAACACTGTGGACCAGGTTGTTAAACACCACTCATTAACCACTGTGTTCATGTGCTCAACAGATATGACTGTGATTGGCTACAATAATTATTGCTTCAAGCTCTTCAGCAATCGATAACACTGATACAAAGATACTGGATTTGACTTTGAAAGCACTGTCTATTGCAGGATATGTCCATGAGTAGATATACGTCTGATCTGCTGATAAAAATGCTTTCAGAAATGGACGTTTGGAAAATCTCTGAAAAAAGTTCTGTGGACAACACTACTACTCATCCTATAATACTGGTGTATTTACACTTTAAGGTGACCTTTGCTGCTTGAAAGGGACATCAAGCAATGGATTTAACAAAATTAAACAATGCAGACTCAATCGATATGCAAAGGCAGCAAAAAGTTGGACTAGCCACCAAATCACATGCTGCAACTTATAGTTCAAAACTTCATAAAGGCTGGGAAAAACGTGCATAAACATTAGCTTTCTGTGTTTATATGAGTTATAAGACTTAAAATACTGGGCTGATGTTTCTTATGGCATGCATTTGCCCAATCTACATGTACTGTACTTATATTACTGGTAGTTCCTATTGTGCTAGAATAAAGAGAACTCTAACTTTTTTTCAGAGATTTATTTTTTGGTGTTTTTGCAGTATGTACAGTATGTAGTCAAGAAGCAAATTTGGAGAAAGAAGAATCCTATATGTCTGCACTGCCAATTAGGCTATAGGCACCAACTACTCTGACAAACTTAGGGCGTACTCACGCTATGTACAGTTGCCTGGAACCGGGCCGAAGCACGCTTGTCCCCCCTCCCGTCTCCCCCGATGGCCCGCACTCACATTGTATTTGGGCCTGAGCACGTTTACGTCATCGATGATGCGCTGTTCAGTAAGAAGTGCTCTCTCTCAGCACAGTGGAGATTTCTTTAGTTACATCGGTTTAGTCGTTTGATAAGCAGTGACAGTCAAATATTTTGCCGAACAGATCAGCCACTTTTGACGCTCATAAACAATCATAAAGTCCTCATGCTGCAGGAATTAGAAGGTTTGCTAAAGGTGTAGTTGTCATGCAGTGAGGTGTTTGCATCTTTATTAATCTATGAAAGTTTGCGTTCATTGAATAGTAAGAATGATTAATAAATCCGTAAACAGTCCCTTAAAAGTCACGTCTTCAGTTTCGGGCTCAGTCGTGCTTTGCATTCACACTACAAGCGTACCATGCCAAAGCCCAAGTGAACCAAGCTCTGGCATACCTCTTCCAAGGCCAGGGCCGCCAAGTAAACCGCACCTGAGCCCGATTCAGAGCACTCAAACTTCTCAAACGATCCGGGAAACGGGCCTGGGCACAGTTTGGATAGCATAATGTGAGTAGGCCCTTAAAGAGCCCTTATTTTGGGTTTTTAAAAATGATCTTCCATGCAGTGTGTAAGAACTCTAAGCGAATGAAAACATCCAGTTAAGGTTTAAATCTGAAAGTGCACCTTGTTAAAACTATTGATTCTTTAATTGATTCTCTGACTCAGAGTCGAATAAATGAATCTTGTTGGGTTCGGATCTTTTGCTTGAACGTGTCGACGTCAATACAGTACATCACCAAATATGAATTGCCGGATCCGGTAAAATGCGAACGTGGGAAATCACGGGACTGACGCCCCATTCACACGGGGCTTCAGCGTCAACGCTTGACAGAGGGCTTGACTGAAGTTGGAGCTGACGCCATCGTCATAGCAGCATCAGCCAATGAATTTAGTCTGCAATCGGCTACTGTCTGAGCTGGTGTATTTGCATACAGCGATCTATTTGGCTGATGCTTCTGTCAGCGCTTAAAAAGTTGAGCAAGTCCCAACTTCTGCAGCGAGCAACGCTACTGAAGCGACGCTGACGGATTCACAATGCAGTTCGACAACGCCTGATGTCACTTATTCAAAGTGAATGGGAAGCGTTGAAGCTGATGCCCCGTGTGAATGGGGAGCCATCATGATACGAAGATGACAATCAATAATTGCTGGAGATTTGGTTGTGGGGAATAAAGGGTTAAAGTTCATTCTCACAACAACACCACAGTATAGCCAAGGTAGTGGCTAGTTTGTTCCTGTAATTTTTGCAAAATATGTATTTAATAGTGTTGGTACTTGTATATGCTCCTAGCGGCTGGTAAACATTCATCTTTTATAGATCAGTGCTTGTACTGTATCTCTCAGGTTAAATCTGTATGGACTATTTCACATATCAGGTTCAAAACCACGTTGAAAACGCGACACATGCTTCTTCCTTTACCGATTTAAATGTATTTTGTACTCACAATCTCCTGCTGTTTGTTGTTAAGGCCACCATCGGCTGTTCCTAACACATCCTGCATGGTCAATTTTCAAAATAGTTCAACTTTTGCCAGAGCGTGGATTAATATTGAATGTGTGTCTTTGTTATTACTTAGGGTTGGCGTTAAGAGTAGAGTAATTCGCTGCTATTTAACTGCATTGCTTTAATGTATTCCTGCACTGACACGTTTCTCTCTGTCTCATGCTGAACCCAGTCGACAACAGACTGGGTCATTGGACTAATCACAGCAGATTAGCCTCACACAAAGGAGGGGTTTAGTAACAAATCACTGAACAAATCATATGGGAGGGATAATTAGGTAAAAAAATAAAAACGTATTATACGACAATGAAAGTGTATGAATATCAGCCATTTGTTGGAGACCCCCAAAACCAAGATATGACATTTTATAATGCAAAATAGGGGCTCTTTAATTTAGATCCCCCTTAATTTGTTCCCAGTTCCTACACAGTAAACACAAAAAAACTGAGTACTTCCACAAACAGTTATAACAACTCTAAAAATGTATCTCACCAATTGATAACATACAGTAATAAGAACATATCTAGTTACTGCTTGCCCTCAGCAGAAACTGACTCCCGAGTTCTTTTGAACTGTTGCATTGCATTTGTTTAAAAAAGACACATGCCATTTTTTGTTGGCACTTTGAAAATAAAATCAAACATTAAAAATCCAAATCCATGCCAATGCGAAGAAAACAAGTAACTGTATTGATCCATTTTGCTGCAGGACTTTTACAGCAACTTTGGCAGGTCAGACAGAGGAACTGCGTCATTCAGAGACCTCTGGACTGGATTAGTTAATGCTTACAGTAAAAGATCAAAGTACCAATGTATTAGTCAGCAATACAACTTTGTTTTTGAGCAGGGGCTTTTGAATGGTATGCATTCATAGTCTGCCACTTAGATTTAGCCTGAGGTTACTTGTGAACACAGCTGTTCTTTAAAAACTGAAAACCAAGAAATACTCATAATGTTTGAAGGGGATGCCTTATAATTTCTGTTCATAACTGATCCAGGGTGTTTAGTTTTAGATCAGAGATCATTATGTCCAGGACGAAACTCTTTGTTATAGGGACAGTAATTTACACACTATTTGCTCACCCTTCGCTTGTTCCAAACAAGTTTAGTCTGTTGAACACCAAAGAATATATTTTAAAGTAAGCTGAAAACCTGTAACCAAGTGAAATGTGAGAATATGATGACAGAATTTTCAGTCTTGGGTGAACTATGCCCTTAAAGAACAGGATTCATGACACACCTTGGCACGTTTATAGTCCTCTCGACCAATGATACAGCAGAAGTCAGAGGGGAGGAGCCAGCTGACTGGCAGCTCTAAGATGGACAGGTACTTCCTGATGATGCTTATGGAGTGAAGTGAGAAGATCTGGCAACCTGTGAGTACAGAATAATAAAAAGCGTAAAATTAATAAAGGCTTTCCCCAGAAAGTAATTCATTATTATGGTATTAGGATTTAAGAGATCATTTTAAAATGACAGTAAAGACATTAAGCTGTGACATTGGCGTTGTCTACATATTGAATGGTTTTATTAAAGAAAACGGAATGCATATACTGTAACAGGTTTCTATTTTATGTATTTTACATACTGTTCAAATAAAAATATTAAAGCGATTACCTGATAATAACATCTAACATGATGATAAAAATAATAGATATATCTTGAGCAGCATATTATAATGATTGCTGGATACGGCTTTAGTAACATCAAAAGTTGAATTAAAATACACTCAGTGCCACTTTATTAGGTACATCTGTCCAACTGCTCGCCAATGCAAATTTCTAATCAGCCAATTACATGTCAGCAACTCAATGAATTTAGGCATTCAAATCGATCTGCAGTTTAAACCGAGCATCAGAATGGGGAAGAAAATTGATTTAAGTGACTTTGAACATGGCATGGTTGTTGGTGCCAGACGAGCTGGTCTGAGTATTTCAGAAACTGCTGATCTACCAGGATTTTCACGCACAACCATCTCTAGGGTTTACAGAGAATGGTCAGAAAAAGAGAAAATATCCAGTGAGTGGCAGTTCTGTGGGTGCAAATGCCTTGTTGATCCAAGAGGTCAGAGGAGAATGGCCAGAGTAGTTCGAGCTGATAGAAAGTCATCAGTAACTCAAAAACCACTCATTACAACCGAGGTATACAGAAGAGCATCTGAACACACAATACGTCCAACCTTGAGACGGATAGGCTACAGCAGCAGAAGACCACACCGGGAGCCACTTCTGTAAGCTAAGAACAGGAAACTGAGGCTACAATTCACACAGGCTCACCGAAATTTGACAATAGAAGATTGGAAAACGTTGCCTGGTCTGATGAGTCTCCATTTCTGCTGCGATAGTTGGATGGTAGGGTCAGAATTTGACATCAACAACACGAAAGCATGGATCCATCCTGCCTTGTATCAACGGTTCAGACTACTGGTGGTGGTGTAATGGTGTGGGGGATTTTTTCTTGGCACATTTTGAGCTAACTAGTACCAATTTAGCATTGTGTCGACACCACAGCGTACCTGAGTATAGTTGTTGACCATGTCTGTCCCTTTTTGATCACAGTGTGGTACAGCAGGATAACGCGTCATGCCTTAATTCTCGAATTATCTTAGACAGGCTTTCTGAACATGACAATGAGTTCACTGTACTAAAATGGCCTCCACAGTCACCAGATGTCAATCCAGTAGAGCACTTTTGGGATGTGGTGGAACGGGAGATTCGTATCATAGGTGTGCAGCTGACAAATCTACAGCAACTGTGAGACACTATCATGTCAATATGGAGCAAAATCTCTGAGGAATATTTCCAGTCCCTTGTTGAATCTATGCCACAATGGATTAAGGCAGTTCTGAAGACAAAAGGGGGTCCAACCCGGTACTAGTAAGGTGTACCTTATAAAGTGGCCAGTGAGTGTATATTTAAATAGAAAATATTTATGAATGTAATAATATTTTACAGTATTATTACTGTATATTTGACTATATTTAGTGATTTTACATAGCTTCCAGGCAAAGATTTTCATAAAGGGCATGAACAAGCCTCTGAATGTGGACACAAGAAACCTCCTAATACTGCGAGATAATAACAGGGTCATCAGAAAGAAGAGCTGGCTGATTAAAGAAACACAAGGGGTCAAGACAGTTCACAGAGGATCCGTTACGTAAAATAAGATCCAACCAGAAACGGATGGAAAACACTGGATTAACACTACTCTAACTGCTCTTTAGTATGGAGTGGACACTGAGAAAATCAGCTGGAAATTTAAGCCAAATCGAAAATAACAAGTGTTAGCTTAAAAATCTGTAAATGAAGAAGTAAAACACTGTCCACTAAGTACTCTTTGAAATAATTTGAATATTTAGATCTCTGAGCCTGAATACTTGTTCATGTGAATGCATATTGACTCCTAGTGGCCTGAGTAGTGAATTGACCGTTTCTATTGCATCAGTTCTGCTCTGATAAATCTTTGTTTCTTTTTCTTTTCATTTAGACAACGGAGACATATCAGGATGATATCAGGAGCTTTCTTGCTTGGAAGTAAGAAAAGGTTAAGCTAGCTCAGTTGTAACTCCTGGAAACTGTTGATTGAATTATACTGATGTTTTCCAGAGTGAACTAAATGAAGAGCACCAGTGGATGGAGTACTTTGCTTAGAAAACATGCTACCAGCAGCACCACCAGCGCTGAGGAAGTGTCTAAAAGGGATAGTTTACCCATAACTTAAAATTCTCTCATCATTTACTCATCTTTACTTGTCACAAACCTGTTTGAGTTTCTTTTTTCTGTTGAACAGAAAAGAAGATATTTTGAAGAAATCTGGAAACCTGCAACCATTGACATCCATAATATTTGTTTTTCCTACTATACTCTCCTCACATTTTCAGCAGCAAGGAAAGCTGCATATGCAGTAAAGTCAGCCACAAAAATGTGTCCATCACCTTTCTTTTATTGTTATTTTTATGTCTTTTGAGACATTGAACAATTTCCTGTAGAATCTACAGTGGCTTACTGGCAGCAGTTTGCCAGTAATTTGCTGTAAATCAATTACAGCAAAAAATACTGTGTACAGTTACAGTTTAAAGTATCACACACCAGACGCGCACATTCGCATGTTTATTTAAAATGAAACTAATCAGATGGCGCTCTGTGGCGCGGCAGAAATATGAACGGTGTCCTGAGTTGTGGCTGGCCGTTGCCGACTTGCAGCACCAGTGTGTGTACCCGGATAGAAACCTAGGTCTAGAATTCTGAAATGTTTGGCGCTACGGGGCGCGATGCAGTACGTCGCCGAGTGGCTTTTTCTGGTGTGTGACCCCCTTAAGTGTACTACAGTAAAAATCTGTTTCTATTACAGTTAAATACTGTGTAATTTACAAAAATTGTTATCAGTGTGTCAATTGTAATAGTGTTTTAGCTTTCTTCAAAATATCCTCTTTTGTGTTCAACAGAATAATGACATAACACTTTGGAACAAACTGAGGGTGAGTAAATAATGAGTAAAAAATCATTTTTGGGTGAACTATTCCTTTAAACTAGGGGTGTTTAATCCTGTTTCTTAAAAGCTAAAGCACCACCAACTTTAGATTTAACTCTTATAAAGGCCAATTATACTTGACCCCAAAACTAAATCACTAAATCAATGACCCCAAAACATGAGTTAAAACAGTCTTACTCTACATTATCAACGATAATAATATTTAACATAATACCATGTTAAGTGCATAATTTAACAATGAATGTAATGAGACTTACCTTCATGTATACGTCCAGCAGTAGCTAGATGACTGTTGTTGAAGACAGGAAAAAATAAATATTATTAATATAATAAACCAAAGTTACAAGCACATATGTTTCAAAATATATTGACAAGCGATACTTTTGTTTATTTATAATGATGACTATGATATGACCTGATGTACAGATATTAACAACGATTTTCTGAAGATTAATCTTAAATAAATCTGTATTTTAGGAATGTCTGAATTTTTAATACTTTACCATTAGAATTATTGTCATAAAATCACAACAAACTCATTAGGAATCTATTTTTATCAGTTTATCTGGGTAGAAATGCGTTAGATACACTGCATTAAAATATTACATCAAGATCCACAAATTTACTTGGCAGTACTGTTTACTGTACACACACACACACACACACACACACACACACACACACACACACACACACACACAAGATTTGATGGTTAATAAGGACTCTCCATGAGCACACTGTATTCTATACTGTAAATAATGCTACTTATCTGACCCTACCCCTAAACATAACCCTCAAAGGTAACCTGTGGCAAATTTTGAAAGTCAAAATATGTTGAATATATTGAATAAATGTTGAATATGTTGCCTGCTACATATGGCTTTTAAGTGTTTTGAATTACAAGGACACAAGGGATGTCCTCATAAACCACCTTAATGTTGTAATACCAGGTCATATTGCATGTCATTTCAAAATGCCTGTCTCTTTGAACCACCAAAACAGTACACACAAATAAACACACACACACATACAAACAGACAGACAGAAAGACAGACAGACAGACACACACACACACACACACATACACTTCCTGAGGTCTGGGTTTTTCTCAGATTAGAGTGAGCTCTAAATCCACATGCAGTTCCTGGAAGTGTCTGTCATGTCCTGGCTCTCCCAGTCACACCACCTGTGCTGGCCGAGCTCAGACTGAGACGCCATCTCAGAGCCAACTTCACCACTGCTTCCTCTCTCTCACACACACACACACATACACACGCTGCACACAAATAAATACATCTACAACAGCACAGAAGAGACAGATGTCCAAGAAGACTGGCTCGGTTTCTTCGAACCAAATATTGCTCAATAACTAAACACTGTTTGTTCAGACTGTACCACTAGCCCTTATGTAAGTCACTGCCTCAAGCCTGCAAAAAAAGTCATCCCCTTCTCAGCATATGCCTCGGTTACCCATATTAATGATATCAATGATTCAACGTTGATAACAATTTACAGAAGAAAGGATTAGGATTCATACAGAGGGTGAATCCTACAGTCATAGTTAATTGTTGGAACAACAAGACAGAGGATATTTTTTTTTGTCCCTCTGAACTGATTTAGTGTTCTGATGCTCTTCTGGATTGTTTTTATGATATGGTATGATATCTAGATAGAGTTGAGTAAATACTTTTCTGTACAATTTTAACTCTTTTATAAAAGAATTATAAAAAGTTCTTTAAATACCTCTTTTCAGAAGCTACTTAAGATATCGTACATTTTTCTAACAATTCAAAATGAAAATTTGACTTACTCGATAGATATCTATTTAATATATCATTGGCAACAAGTGAAAAAGTATAGCTTTTTTACTTGTTGCCAGTAATATCTTAAATAGTATCCGGAGATTGCATAAAGAAGACTCACCAACTAAAGATGAATGGTGGAGGAAATGGAAAAAACGACACATGCACATTGAATACAAAAAAAGTAAATAGATGGCCACGAGAATACAATTATCCATAATTTAACATTTACATAATTTTAGAGGCTATTCATCATAGAGATTATATGTTTGTTTTTTATTATTAACTCATATTTTATTATTATATCTTTTGTTTTATTTTATACTTATTCTATTTATTTAGTTATTTATTTAATAATTATTCATTTATTATATTTATTTAGAGGTTAATTAAATATTTTTATGTATGTATGTAAATATGTATACATGTGTGAAATGGATGTATTTGTGTGTGTGTGTGTGTGTGTGTGTGTGTGTGTGTTTGTGTACATATATGTATATACATGTATACTGTATATATAATTGAGGTCTGACATATTAGCCCCCCTGTTTATTTTCCTTCAATTTCTGTTTAACAGAGAGAAACATATCTAAACATAATAGTTTTAATAACTGATTTCTAATATCTGATTTATTTTATTTTAGCTTTTTTTATTTAATTAAATTTTTGTTTTATTTTATGCCATGATGACAGTAAATAATATTTTAAAAGATTAAAGGGACTTTTAAAGGCTTAATGGTTAATTAGGTTAACTAGGCAGGTTAGGGTAATTAGGCAAGTTAGTGTATAACGATAGTTTGTTCAGTAGACTTTCCAAAAAGATTTGGCTTAAAGGGGCTAATAATTTTGGGGGAAAAGGGGAAACAATTTTGTTATTTAAAAAATTAAAAATTTAGTATTTTTTTTTATTATTAAAAACTGTTTTATTCTAGCCAAAATAAAGCAAGTAAGACTTTCTCCAGAAGGAAAAATTACAGACATACTGTGAAAGGTTCTCTGTTAAACATTATTTGGGAAATGTTTAAATAAGAAAAAACAATTCAAAGAGGGGCTATTAATTCTGACTTCAACTGTAAATATTGTTATTTGTTTGTTTGTTCCCACCGGTTACATGCTCCCAAAAATCAATAAAACAAAGTATTAATAATAATAATAAAAAAATTACTTATTCAAGTTTTTTACTTGGGTTTTTGAATGAGGACTACAATTCTCAAATTTGAGGTTGATGATTTTGTTCTTTAAAGATGCTTAGCAAAGGTACAAATACTAAATACAAATAGATTTATTATTGTATCATTTTTAGTTTTATGTATTTTTAATGTATTATATTTAAAATTCTGCACAAAATGTGATTTATTCCTCAATTTAAGCAGATTTTTTGTCATTATTTTTTATTGTAGACTGTAACATGCTCTTTTAGAAATCATTATATTAAGCAGATTTGGCAGACATTTGTATCAATGTACTTATAAGCATTAATTATTAAATATTTCTGATTATTATTGATCAATGATGCCGCTTAAAAGTGAAATACCTGTTTAACAATACTCTCAAAAGAAAAATGTTTATTTGAAATAGAAATCTTATAAATAGATAAACACTTTTGTAGATTTTACCTAACTTTTACAATTTACTTTTGATTAAATGAATCCATCCTTGCTAAAATATTTAAAGTATTAATTTCTTTTACCCTGACTCCAAACTTTAACAATAAAAATCATCTTGTTGATTCTTCAATTTTGTAGACTTGTGCATTCACCCGTGGTTTTGTGTTGTTCCCTGTTAGATCGATGTTATGACTGTAACATACATGATCCTTCTGTGTGAATGTGCAGTAGGATAGACAGTCTTCAGGAAGTGCTTCAGACAAACTAAGTTCCTCTGATTGACAAGGTTGCAAGTCAGAGTCTGGGCATATTCAGATCTAACATAATCCAACAAAGACCAGTCTAGACCAATCGCCGGGCTGGTTTATGTGAATTATATCTAGTTTGGGAATAATCACAATAAGAATGTATTCAAGCTTGTTGACCAAAGACAACTTGTCCAAAGATCATCACCTGTTTTCAAAGCCTGTTTCACGTATTAAAGGGTGAATGAGGCTCTTTTTCCATTCATCTAAGCTCACTCTAATAAGAATAATTGAGGTAAAGGCAAATAAACAATGTTAGTCTGTTTCCTTTATGAAGGCACATCAAACAGAAAATCTCTATTCTTGCCTAAGCTATGAAATTATTTTCAGAAATGAGAACAATGTCCCTATTTATATCAATGCTTCAGACTAAATCCTAATATCCTGTTGTTGTGGAGGTAAATCTTGCGCTATGACATTAGCACATGAGTACCTGAGGGTCTTGTAGATGGCAATATGGTTGGCATGTCCACTCACACCTCTGCCATCAAACGTCAAAACCTGTGGAAACACACAATGGAGGTTTTCAAGTAACAAGTAAAATTTGCTTTGTTAAAAATAAAGTAGGATTTTAAAAAAGTAAGTTATATATATATTTCATAATATATATAGTTCAGATGCAAAGGGCTTTTTAAATTTGGATTTTTCTCTCACTCCTGTGTGTAGGCTCACTAGTTTTACTTTAATAGTGACGAATAAGTTCTTTTTATTGTCTTTAAAGTAAAATAACTGAACATTAACATCAATTTTCACAGTTTGTCTGATAATATTTTTTCTTCTGGAGAAAGTCTTATTTGTTTTATTGAGGCTAGGATAAAATCAGTTTTAAAAACCTTTTTAGGGACAAAATTATTAGCCCTTTTAAACTATATTGTTTCTCGATAATCAACAGAACAAACCATCATTATACAATAACTTGCCTAACAACCCTATCCTGCCTAGTTAACCTAATTAACCTAGTTAAGCCTTTAAATATCACTTAAAGCTGTATAGAAGTGTCCTGAAAAATATCTAGTCAAATATTATTTACTGTCATCATGGCAAAGATGAAATATATCAGTTTTTAGAAATTAGTTATTAAAACTATTATGTTTAAAAATGTGTTGAAGAAATCTTCTCTCCATTAAACAAGTGCTCTAATAATTCAGGGGGGCTAATAATTCTGACTTGAAGAGTATATATATATATATATATATATATATATATATATATATATATATACCCATGGCAATTATTCCTCTGGGTTTTTACCTCATCCCTGCACTACTCTATTGGAGAGTAAAGATAAAAGTTTACAAGAAGTTTCTATTAGTAATGCACTAGATATCCTAAATCTGCAATAAACAATATTTTAATCTTCACTCTGGTTTCAATAGGGGTTAGAAAATTGTCTTGAAATTGAATTAGTCTTTGTTTTGTCTTTATACACTCACAGGCAACTTTATTAGGTGCACCTTACTAGGGTAGGGTTGGACTTCCTTTTGCCTTTAGAACTGCCTTAATCCTTTGTGGCATAAATTCAACAAGGCACTGGAAATATTCCTCAGAGATTTTGCTCCATGTTTACATGATAGCATCACACAGTTGCTAAAGATTTATCGGCTGCACATCCATGACGCAAATCTTCCATTCCACTAAATCCCAGGGCTGCTCTATTGGATTGACATCTGGTGACTGTGGAGGCCATTTGAGAACAGTAAACATTGTTTTTCATGTTCAAGAAACCAGTCTGAGATTATTTACACTTCATGACATGGCACGTTATCCTGCTGGAAGTAGCTATCAGAAGATGGGTACACTGTGGTCATAAAGGGATGGACATGGTCAGCAACAATGTTCAGGTAGGCTGTGTGTTGACACAATGCTCAATTGGTACTAATGGGCCCAAAGCGTGCCAAGATCATATCCACTCTACCATTAGATGCCAAATTCTAAAATACTCAGACCAGCCCGTCTGGCACCAATAACTATGCAACATTCAACGTCACTTAAATGACATTTCTTCCTCATTCTGATGCTCGGTTTGAACTGCAGCAGATCGTCTTCACCATGTCTACATGCCTAAATGCATTGTGTTGCTGCCATGTGATTGGCTGATTAGAAATTTGCATTAACGAGCAGTTGGACAGTTATATCTAATAAAGTGGCCAGTGAATGTAGATGCATTTATAAAATTGTTATGATTGATTATAAATTATACAACACAGGCTCATTCTCAAAAGTACCTGTAAATACATTTATGGAGATCACAAATTATGTAGCTAGTGAAACGTAAGGCTACAATTCTTCTTTAAAATGTATGCTAAGGGATTGTATTACTCCGTTCCTTTTTGCGCTTACCAACTGACCGATTACCTTCGTATAGACGGCTTTATCACTATTAGCAGTTTGTCCAAGGGCTCACCGCGTACATCAGAGGTTTTAAGATCTCGGGCTCTATTTAGACAATCCATGAGCAAAGCGTAAAGTGCAGGGCGCAAACGCTTTCAGCATTGCATGCATTTTTACTAATATAAGGACGGAAAAATCCGATTTCCGCCATGGCTCATGGTCTAAAAGGGTTGAGTTTATTTTCTTATTGAGGTATAGGTGTGTTTTGAGAATAAACCAATCAGAGTATCATCTCCCATTGCCTTTAAGAGCCAGCTGCGTCGCACCATGGCACATTTGCTATTTACATGACGTAAAGTAAGAGTGAGTGGAAAAACTGAGCATTTCACAAGCAAGTAAACAGTTAAACAGAGCATCTACAGCGCGAGAATGAGAGATAAAATATCTACTTTCGCTCTCGTGGATAGGGAAACCTTTTAGGCACAGACATCCATTAGCCTATAAATAATTAATTTCATTTGTTAAGCGCAAATATTTGGTTCAAAACCCATTATAAATTCAGTTCTAATTTCCAGCAAACTAATAAATCAACAATAATAACGAAGTGTGTTAAAAAAACTGTTATATCCTAATACACATGCTGTGCCCCATATGGTCTAAAACCTGACAGGTGGGTAAATCTAAGCTTGTTTTTAATAAAAAAAAAAATATATATATGGATATAATAAATAATACTGCTAATAATAATAACATTATACAAAAGCAAATTGAATAAACTAAAAAAGCCTCCCGAGATGAAGAAGGCATGAAGGCAGTGGTTTTTCATATTTATGTAGGCTAGAAAATAATATGTTTTGTAATATTTTAATCCTTTATATTTATATCCTATATACATCCTTTTTATATCCTATATATATCCCTAATATTTAAATTCTTTTTCATATGTAAAGATATTTGCGTATTGCTCTAAATCTTGTGTGTATTAAGCAGTGTGAAAGCGAGGCGCACAACTAACTCGCTCTGCGCTGAACTTTAGACTGGCTTTGTTCTGGTCTAAAGAACACACTATTATAGTTTCTCAAAATAGCAACGCCCCAGCAACACGCCAAAACACGCCTGCTTTTTTAGACCAGAACGCCTATTGGCGGATATATGAGCGCAAATGCATTTGCTATTTAAACAGCGTGGCGCAAAATGTCAAAACGACTATTGTGCCGAGCTGAAACTAGCAAATAACAATTGCATTGCGCCTTGCGCCGGGTGTATAATAGGGCCCGAAGTCTTAAGAAGTCAGTCAGTTAACAGTGGCCTCTAGTGGATTTACACAAGAACAGCAGCCGCGAATAGCACTCGCGAGAGAAAATTGAGATCTCAAAAATCGTACACAGCGGCCTCTGGCGGATTGGCGAAAACAAAAACTGCAAAAAAACACAGCTCTGCAGAAATGTATATATACTGTAGGTACGTTATCAGAATGAGCCTGTGTTAAAATAATATAACAATTATAATTTATTAGAGTGTTACAAACATTACTAACAAGAAATTTAATAACAAGCACCCTCAGAAAAAAAAAAAACTGTCACTAGGTCTCTTCATATGTAAGTTTTTGTACTTTTTAGTTATTAACACAAAAACTTTAAATACAAATGTGTACCTTTTGAAAGAAACACTATAGTGGCAGCTTTTTACCTTTGTTTCTGAGTGTGATTTCTAAAAGAGTGTGTGACATTGAAGACTAATGGCTGCTAAAAACTGAGCTTTATTTACACTTCAAAATGCACTGAAATTAAAAACAGTTTAAAACTGTAATAGTATTTTATATTCTTGCTGTTTTCACAACATTTCTGGTCTTTAAATTGCAACACAGCCTAAAAACATTCAAATATTATTGTTTTACTATTTGAAGATCAGTGATAACATTTTTGTAACTGTAACTTTTCTTTTCTTAAATCCCAAAGAACAGAACTTAAACTTGCAGGTTTTCTTCCCCGCGTTTGCATTCTGTCTTTCCTCTGAAGAAAAGGGGTGAAAAGGTGAACACAAGACAAAAAACAAACAAAAGAAAAGAGCTCGAAAATAAGATGAAACACAAGCCAAAGAAAAGCAGTAATTTGAAGACTCAGCAGTGGACTTGGTGGGAGATGCTGCCAGAACTGTGTGGAAAGGCTTCTATCTGTGCGTTGTTTGCTGCGTCACCAGATGAGGGACTCTGTCTTTGCTTTCCAAGCGGGCTCATAGCTTGAGAGTGCCAAGGGTGGAGGAAAATATGGATAACAAAATAATAGATTGTGGCAGGTATGCAGACTAGTGCCAAACACAACGAGGCGAGTGAGTGAGTGAGCTTTGAGAGGAGAATACTGGTGAAAATAAGTGAAGAGGAGAAACACACACAGACAGAACAAACACACACAATCAAGCTGCAACAGGATTCTACAAAGTATGCATGACACAAAGTTAAATGCATTATTTGAAGGATTGAATATTTCACACCTGATCTACGTCTTTCAAAACATCTATGCACCAAAACACTAGGCTATAACTGCATTATGTGGGTCTTTTAGTTTAACTTTGCATCAGTAAAAAGCAGACTGAAAGTATTTACATAACCTTTTAAAAAGATAAATGATTGCTTTAGAGTAGACAAACTGAAATTGTACACGCACTTGGTGATATCTGCCTGTAAGTAAAGTAAAAAATAGTAAAGTATCTAGGAAAGTATTTAGGCTCGTATAAAAGGGTCAAAGATGAAAATACACTTTTGGTTACATTTCTGACTGTATTTATATTGTAGTGCATGTATAATGCCTCATAGACAGGTGTATAATGTGTTATCACTTCAAGATTAATAATAGATTGCAACAGTACTGAAACTTGTCTATGTACCTTTCATAGTCATTAAAAAAACTAGGTAATAACTGGGTACTTTCCCTACACCTTCTCTAGTACTACACCTCATATTCCGCATCCTAACCAAGTAAAGTGCACTGCAAGCACTTGTTAAGTACACACACTAAAAAATAAGGTACAATTAATTCATAATTTTATATCCAAGATTTTCATATCGCCTAGTGATGTTGATATAGTTTTCTTATATCAGAAAAATTAATAAATGAATATGTGTATATATATATATATATATTCATTCACTAATTTTCTGCCGCTTTTCCGTG